GTCTTCTCCTTCAGCCATTTTGGGTTAAAATGCAGTGATAGCTCTAGCAGGCGCTTGTCCAATCAGCGAACACGCACATCCAGCCTCGACGTAGGGCATTCTAGCTGGCCCTGGTAGCAGACGAGTCCGATCACAAGTCTGAGACTCGTGATCTGATTGGCTATTGCAAGCTGACTGTGCCCGTTCATTTACAGCGCACAGGGCCTGCTCTGATTAATCTGAAGGCTCTGAGCAAATTTAATTTACCTGGCAACACAAGCTAGCTGAAATATTATTGGTTAAAAACTCTACCATAATAAATAAGTTATTTTTCGAGTGGCTTTCAATGTTATTTAAAATAACATTGAAAGCCACTCAACTAAGTGGAAATAATATGACGTAAAGATTACAGAGAATAAATTTGTTCACATATTTATGAAAATAAAATAACAAATTTATGTTATTCTCAGAAAAGTAAATTTACTTTTCTGAGAATGTTTAGGCCAGCAGAGAAGGCCTTGCTGGCCCTCAGGGTCCGCCACTGCCTGTCCCATCCCACGCTTGTCCTGGTCCCTTCCTGTCGCGCTCCCATTTTGGAGGTGTTAGCTTCACAAAAAATGTCTGCATAGCTGTCCAAGTTTTTTTTTTTTTTTTTGCTACTGGATAATCCTCCTCCCATCTGCTCCCATGAACTTTTTATCCTATTCCCAATCCTGTGATTAAAGGCAAAGTTGACTCCCATCCCATGGGAATCCCACGGCGACCCACAGGATTGCTGAAAAAATTTCACCCTCTTTTGCCTACTAGTCCGCCAAAAGTGGCATTCGTTAAAAAAATAAAATAAAAAAAAAGTTACATGTCAGAAGTTGGTCTACTGTGCTTCGTACCAGTGAGCACATAGAGCGTACTCGTAAATAGATCTTAAGATGGATAGCGAGTCTATTGAATGGATGCTTAAAAGGCTTTGGTTGATGCATGCCGTCCCCTTTCTGGATTGTTGAGAGTCTTAATGATGAAATAATGAGGCGGATAATTTCTAAGGGGAGCACTCATTACTCATGAGGGCTTTTTGCTTAATTTCCCGATTCACTGTGTTTCTTCTCATAAAATAAGCTTCCATCTGTACAATAAAGGAATTTATGAGAGAGGTGCAATTTGTTGTATTGTTTAAAGGCATTTTTATAAATTCTTTATTTTATTGGACGTCTCTCACCCCTCTCTCTGTACTTATGACCTGATGCAAGGGTGCAAAACAAAGCCTGGCTAACTGTAGGCAGCCTTAATGTGGCTAATATAACACCTGCAGCTCAATAAAGAACCTGTTCATCTTACATAGGGCCAACGAATGAAACCAATATGGATTGCTTTGTGTACATCAGTTGTTTTGATGCTATATTAATTTAAAAGTACCAAACTGGTGCATCCACAGAGCTGCGCGATGGAGAAAAAGAAGAGAAAAAAGGCCCCATCCATGACAACGAGAGCCAACTCAGCATGTCAGGTGTATAGTATGGGTGTGTCATAACAGGACAAATAGCACTCCTGATGATTTCATAGGTTATCACAGTGGAAGTTCCAAAATCCTAATTATCTACAAGAATGTCTCAAGGCTAAAAACAAATAATCACATGTGACATCAGCAAATCCTGTGAGACTTCAGTACAGAGAACATCTTAAGGATTAAACTCCACCTATAGTTTGCTTTTTCATTTGCTTCTTTAATTAAAATGTGGTGCCCTTAAATATATATCCACCCTGAACTGGTTGCCAGCAAATCGCAGGGCACACACAGATGAACAACCATCCACACACACACCTGGGGACAATTTAGTGTTCAGCCAGCCTGCCATGCGTGTTTTTGAAATGTGGGAGGAAACCGGAGTACCCGGAGAAAACCCACGCAGGCCCGGGGAGAACATGCAAAATCCATACAGGGAGGCCGCAGCTGGAATTGAACCAGCTTCTGGAATTGTGAGGTAGACGCGCTAACCACTGGATCACCGGGCTACCCTCCTTATTTATATATA